AATCAGCTCGCGCGCGTCGGTCAACACGCGCGCGTCAATCAGTTCGTACGCGTCGGTTAACACGGGCGCGTCAATCAGTTTGTACGCATTGGTCAACACGCGCACGTCAATCAATTCGTGCGCGTTCGACGCAGTCCCGCAACGAAGCGTACAAGTCGGCGAATCGACCAAAGTAGCGGAAAATACAAGTCCCAGAAAGAAACGTGCCAAAAGAGAAAAGAATTTGGCAGAGGTGACGGACCCGCGTCGTGAGGACGGCTCATACCGACCCACGCCGCGCGGACGGCTCAGACCGACCCGCGCCAGCGCGGGTCGGATCAGTCCTACCCGCGCAAGCGCGGGTCGGATCCTGCTAACCCGCGCCCCCCGCGAGTCAGCAGTGTCCGTCGCGCTGTTTTGACCCCCGGACGCGTTTTCGACGCTTTTAAAGCGGTTTTCGCAGGATTTATCTATTCCATGGGTTCCCAACCAACTTGATATCATCAACAAACGTGGTTAGGCTGTTATTACCTGAAGATAAGGCCAAATCACTCATTCTCATCCAAATAACCACACCCGAGGCCTATAAATATGAGCCCAAGGCCTCCATTTTGCAGATCTGGAATTTTATCAAGAGGACGAGGTACTGCTGGATTGAAGAGTCAAGGAGCACGAAATTTTAGCAAAGGTCAACGAGATCCCGATGAACTTCAGCACAAAGGAGAAGTCATTCGAAGGATCCGAAGCCCCGTACGTCCGTTCCTTGAGATTAGGCTTTGTCTTAATCTCGAGAAGAGCTACTGATTTCGCTTGGTCGATTTTAGGGCTTCAAGCAAATACCGCCTTGGTGAGGTAGGAGCTCCGTCAATTTTTCGTCAACCGGATCCGATCTGCGGTCGTCCACGGATAAACCCCGGCACCGGCGAAGAACCCACGCAAGCAAGAGTCGATAAACGGATATTGTGTTTATTTTCGAGAGAGTTGTATTTTCTTTTATTTTCGTTATTTGAATTCGTTGTAAACGACTAAAGTTATAATGAAATCAATCACGAAGGTGACTTTTGACGAAAACAAACTGGCGACTACAGTAGGAGCCGAGAACCTTTCTGCGAAGGCTGACGTGTCGCAACCTCGGATCCTCATCCCGGTTGAAACAGAGGTCGAATATGAGTTCGACCACGAAGGCTGACGTGTCGCAACCTCGGATCCTCATCCCGGTTGAAACAGAGGTCGAATATGAGTTCGACCAGCAGAAGTACGAGGAATACTTGTCCTCCTCCTCTAGATCGGCCTCTCCTTGCAGGTGCAGGAAGGCCTATTCCAAGAAGACCCGTTGGACTTCAGCTTCAGAAGCTCAAGAAGAAGATCTTCCCGTCACCGTCGCACTTGTGGCTCACAACGCCCTGCCGGCATCCGACGAGGCTAAAACCACAGATCTGAACCCCTTGAATAAGGGGTTAACTATTAATGATGTGCCCCCTCTATCAAAGAGAGCACGTCAGAGGCGACGCCAACGCCTCGCACGCCAACTGGCCAAAGCCTTGGAACCAGTTGATGGAATCTGCTATGAAGCGGATCTGAAGTCTGGCCCCCCCCCCCCGCCACAACAGCGAGTGGACAACCCCTCCTTTAAACCAGCGAAGAACGAATGAGTCCGCGTCAAAAGGACCCAATCGACTCTTCAAGAACGGATTCAGAAACGATGCACATTGCTTGTACATGCGAGAATTCTTGTGCAAGAGGCCAAGAAATTGCAGAATGAAGAGGTAAAAAAAAAGCCACAAAAATTGCACCAAGTGTGGAGGCCAAAGTCTAAGACGGCGGCCAAAAAGATTAAAAAACGCGGGTCACTCAGATCCGACCCTCTGGCTCGCGAGACAGTCAAATCTGACCCTCTAGCGTGTGGGACACCCAGATCCGACCCTCCAGCCCACGGGTCACTCAAGTCTGACCCGCGCCAGGGTCAAGACAAAAGATGTTCTGCACAAGTTTCTTCGATCCCATTGAGTTCCTCACCTCCGGTGGAGATCCGCGAAAGTGTGGATTTGTCCCGGTTTAAAATAAAGATCACAAATCGCCTTGGCCCTTCACACGATGATCGAGGCAAAGCTCCGGTCAAAGAGCGCTTAGGCCCATTAAATGGATCTCGAGCAGTTTTTCAGGCCGAAGGTCGGTCGTCCTCCTAAGCAGTGAAGGAGAACGCATGATAGGAAAAGTCCTATAACTGACCGCATTGGACCGCGTGTCGAAGTCCAGGAGCCTTTTGAAGGCCTACGTTCACGAAAACCTAGCCTCAGACATGCGACTCCTGAAGACCCTAATCACTCCCCCTCTAGGGTCTAACAGAAAGATGACCAAATACTAACTTGGGAAGACCCTTGGGTTCATCATCTGAATATGCAGTACAGTGATAGATTTGAACAAAGGGAACCCCTACCGAGGACTAAGTAATCCAGGTGAATATGGGTAACGAGGATAATTCGAAGCCAATATTCATTAGCGACAGCCTCCTGCCGGATGAGAAAGAAGAGTTGATTGCTCTCATTAGGGAATACATCGATGTTTTCGCCTAGAATTATGAGGATATGCCAGGGCTCGATCCAAATGTGGTAATGCATCGCCTCAATATTAAACCGGATGTCAAACCTGCCAAACAACAACAAAGACGGTTTCGTCCGTAAATTATGGAGGCAATCGAGTCCAAAGTCAAAAAGCTTATCGACTCGGGTTTTGTCAGGGAGGAGCAACATCCCGAATGGCTTACCAATATTGTCCCGGTCCTTAAGAAGAACGAAAAAAATCAGGATTTGTATCGACTTTAGAGACCTCAATACTGCCTGCCCACAAGACGACTTCCCTCTTCCCATCATAGATGTTATCATTGACAATACGTGTGGATTCGAGAGAATGTCCTTCATGGACGAATTTTTTGGTTATAATCAGATAAAAATGCATCCAGATGATGAAAAACATACTGTATTTAGAACACCTCTCGGTGTTTTCTACTACATGGTTATGCCATTCGGCTTAAAGAATGCATGTGCCACATATCAGAGAGCTATGTCAAAGATTTTCCAGGAGCATCTCCGGAAGACTGTCGAATGCTACGTAGACGATCTAGTCGTGAAAAGTCGTGACAAGAATGATCACATCAAGGACTTAAAAATGATGTTCGACCTGATGCAGACTCATCAATTGAAGATAAATCCTACCAAATCTTTTCTCAGAATGTCCAGCGGTAAATTCCTTGGATTTGTCATCACGACTAAGGGTATTCACATTGACTCTGATAAAGTAAAGGCGATTAACGAGTTGCAACCCCCGAGAAATCTTAAAGAGCTCAGAGGATTACAAGGACGCTTGGCTTACATCCGTCGGTTCATTTTGAACCTTTAGAGAAAATGTCAACCATTCTCTAGGCTTACAAAGAAAGACGTATCATTTATATGGGATGACGCTTGCCAAAAAGCGTTTGAGAATATTAAGGAATATCTCTCGAAACCCCCCGTACTCGTTGCACCGAAATCGGGCAAACCGTTCTTGATTTATGATAAGGCGACGAGCTACTCGTTAAGTGCATTACTTGCATAAGACGACGATAACGGTCACGAACAGGCAGTATATTATTTGAGCCAGACCCTTATGGGCGCCGAATCTTGATATCCAATAATCGAAAAGGAGTATCTCGCTTTAGTATTCTCTATTCAAAAGATGCGATACTATTTGGTCGGACAGACTATCTACGTCATCTCTAATGTTAATCCAGTCAAAATATTCATGACACAACCTGCTTTCATGAATTGGCGGCTAGCGAAATAGGCCCTGCTCCTGTCCCAATACGACCTACACTTTAAGCAACAAAAGTCGGTCAAAGGCCAAGCTATTTGCGATCTCCTGCCAGCTAACCCAACTACGGATACGGCCGAGGTGTACGACGACCTCCCAAATGAAACCCTCGACCCGGGGGGGGGGGTGATTAGGGTCTTATGCTAATCTAATCCGATTATATGCCAATTAAAATTAATTAACAAGTTATCCTAGCAAGTATGAAATACCACAAGATATATAAGCTAGGATAAGCAATGCAAACAAAGAGATATATCCTATATGATGAATATGTACATCCAATGATATATAAACTAACACAAGATGATATATCCTATCAAAGAGATATACAATGTGATATATGTAAGGATATGGATATAAAACTAACACAAGGGGTAAACAATATGAACTTGGATATATGAACTAACACAAGGGTAAAATAAACAATCTACACAAGTGATAGGGTAA